TTGCCTCTCATTCAGCATTACATCCCCGGGTCTCATCCCTAAGGATGTGAGTGGTTATAGATTATTTATTCCCATGGTTACAAGGGGGTCCATTATATGAATAGGACCACACTTCTGTCCTCTGATGTTCATGGGCATTTGTGTTATACCTGGATTTCATAAATCATGCTTCTATGAATGATTTTTTCTTATATTCTGGCACACATATGCATGCAAGTCTATCAGGTATGTAAGTAGGAGTGGAATGTTGGGTAAAGGGTGAGCAAATGTTTGGCTTTAGAACGTATGGCCACAGAATTTTTCAAAGTATTTGAATCAATTTACTCTCCCATTAGCAATATATGAGGGATGTAATTAAATTCTTTTTAATTATTTAAATTTATTTTGTTAGACTTTCATTTTAACCATTCTGGGAGGTGTGCAATGATATCCCATTACAGTTAATTTGAATTTCCCCTCTGACTAAAAATGTTGAGCAATTTTTGTAAATTTATCAGGCATGTAAATATCTTCAATAGGACACTGGACTGGACTAATTGTTAATGACTGAATGGGACTCCTGTAATGTGCCAGCAATTTTTTTTAAAAAGATTTTTATTGAGGAATTAAGGGATGGGAACAGCACTAGGGAATTGGGGGAAGGGGAACAGACAAGTTGCTGTCCTTTTGTTCTTCAGTCTAGTTGTGGAGGACGTTGCTTCGCTGGCCCAAGTTGGCATCATCATCGCGCTCTTCCTGGGCGAGGCAGATCAGTCTCAGGCTTCTGGACGGCCGCTCACTGTGGCTGCTGGCCACTCACGCTGGTTGCTGGCTACACACGGTAGCCCGTGGCAGCCCACTGCACAGGGGCTGCAGCCTACGCCGTCGCCAGGGACTCATGGCAGCCCAGCTCCAGGTTGAGCTGTTGTTCAGCATCTTAGCTGTAGAGGGCAGTGTCACTGGCCCTCATATGTGGGATCTGAACCGGGGCCCTCTGGCGTCCCAAGCCAGTTCTTAACCAACAAGCCACTTGGCCGAATGTGCCAGCATTTTTAACTGTTACGGTCCTTTTGCTATAAATGGATCTGTGGTCAAAGACCTGTGGTGTAATAAAAAAGTATTTGATCTTTGTTCCCATTTCCTAACACAGAGCTCCTAAGACCTTTGAAATCTCCTGAGTGAGAAGACTGTCTCTGGGGTGCCAATGAGATGACGCTTGGCTGAGGGTCCTAGAGAGCTTTGGGATGGGGGCAGCTCAGCAAAAATACCAGCCATGATTAGAAGGTTGCAACTTTCAGCCTCACTCCCTGACCTCAGGGGAGAGGAGCTGGAGGTTGAATTCAATCACCAATGACCAATTGCTTAATCAATCATGCCTACATCATAGAACTTCCATTAAAAACAAACAAATAAAAAACCCCTAAATCAACAGAATTCAGAGAGCTTCCCAATTGGGCAACACATCCATACACTGGGAGGGTGACACACTCCAACTCAGTGACAGAGGCTCCTGCATTTGGGACCCTTCCCGACCTCGCCCTACAGACTTCTCCATCTGGTTGCTCACTTGTATCCTTTATGATCAACTGTAACAGTAAGCTTAGCATTTTCCAGAGTTCTATGAGTTGTTCTAGCAAATTATTGAACTTGAAATGGGGAACCCCCATTTACTACCCAAGTCAGACAGGAGTGCAGGTAACATGGGGACCTGAAACTTATGACTTGTGTCCTAAGTGAGGGCACTCTGTGGGATGGAGCCTGTAACCTGTGGGGTCTGATGCTGACTACAGGTAGTGGCAGGATTCCGATTGTAGGGACAAAAAGGTGATGTCAGAGCATCAGAAAATTGGTTGCATGAAGGGGAAAAACCTTCACCATCCCACAAAGAAATTCACAGTGAGTAGGCAAGTAAGCCTCTAACTTGGATATCATTTATTAGTCCCTGTTCTTCCAGCCAACCCTGAGTGCCTACAAAACACCAGAGAAAGTTCCAGTTCAGATCTTTGCTTTAAGAATTGAAATTAGTCATTCTTTCTCCATCACTCACCCCCAGCACCTGAACTCTCTTCCTACATTAGAAAACTTCAACACTTAGAGTCTTGGTGAGAGGCAGAGGCCACTTCACTCCATAAAACAGGGAAACCCACTGTCCCCAACACTCTTGCAGCTGGACACGGCATGAAGCTCCACCATCAGGTGACCAGATGCCAGACTCTGACTCAGGACGCGGTGACACAGAGGCTGGAACTGTGCAGAACGCATTTGGCAGTAACATAACAAGTTTTCAGGAGCAGCAGTGACAGCAGTCATGGCCGCAGGGACTGGTGTCCACATGGATGTCAGTGGTGTGAGCAGTGACACGTGTGCCCAGCAGCAGGGGCAGTGGGTCCCACATGGGACCCAACCTGGGGTGATTGTGGATCTGTTCCTGGTTGTGTGGCCTCAAGCCTATTCTGTGTTCTCCCCCAAAATAGTATTAGACCCCCAATGTCATAAATAGATGATAGATAGATAGATAGATAGATAGATAGATAGATGATAGATAGACTTTATATCTAAATTAGAAAAATTTGGATTCCATTGTTGGCTTGAGAAATCAATCTGGGGAATAGTTTCAGGAACGAGCATTCACATATTTTATTATACTGACCTGTTACTCAACTCCTAAATCTTCCATCTGACTCTACCCCATGGTAGAAAGAACAACATGTAACTCACAACATCATATCTCATAATTGATGATATATGTCCTCCCCTTTCTGAGGAAAAGAACACCTTTAAAAGTGTATTTAAGACCATTTCCCACCCTGAGCTCTGACCACTGACCTCAGAGGTTCCCAAGTTGGCTGAGCCCCAGGACAGATTATGGGCTTACAGACACTCAGGCCTCTCCCAGACCCACCATCTCAGAGAATCAGGCACAAGACCAGGAATCACTTATGTAACAAGTCCTGCAAGTGAGGCTGACACACAACCCTGTGGGAATCCTGGTGACGGTCTTGCTACTAAAAGTTTGATCTGAACACCAGCAGCTGCACCAACCTCGTTATAAATCCAGGATCTCTGCTCTGCTCCAGACTTTCTGGGTCTTAACAAGATGTCCAGGTGATTCCTGTGCCCAGGGAAGTTTGGGCCTCTCTGGTCTATGTGCCTTATCGACACAGGGCCAAACTCTGCCATCTGCTCGGGAGTGTGGTCTGATCAGATCCCAGCACTGGGGGCCCAGAGTTCAGTCCTTTTCCTTTCTCTTCTATAGCCATCGCTCCCTTGGGGACCTCATCTGGGCTCAAGACTTTAATATCATTTATATGTGTCACCTCCCAAGTCTATTTCTCCAGCCCAGACATTTCCCCTAATTCCTTAACTCATCTGCCCAACTGCCAGTGCGATGACCTCATTGTATTTCTAACAGGCATCTCAGCTCCAACATCTCTTAATGAATGTCTGTGACACCCCCACCCCTCAGATCTGCTCCTTCCAGACTCTTCCCCATCTCTGCGGACAGCAACTCCATCTTTCTACTTGTGCCCTCTGAGATTGTGGGGTCCTTGACTCTCATGTCCCAGACTGACCCATTAGGAAACGCTGTGATATCCACCTCAGAACCTACCCTGAACCCCACTCCCACTATTTCCCCCGCTCACCCCCAGGGGCAGCAGGTCTAGCCCGGAACCCTGCAGATTCCTGCGGCTCCCGACGGCCTCCCTCACCCCAAGTCTGTTCTCAGCACCGCAGCCCCAGCGGTCCTCTTTAAGGATATCACACCATGTCCCCTTCTGCTCCTAACTGTCCTGTAACCCCCACCTCACTCCGAGCACAGGTCACTGCCCTCTAACGTCCTCCCGGCCACGTGGTCTGGCCATACCTGTCTCTCCTCCATCACTCTCTGCTGCAGCCACACCGGCCTCCCGGCTCTTCCCAGAAATCAGACACACTCCTGCCCCAGGGCCTTCCCACTGCAGTTTCCCTGCCTGGAAATAACTTGCTCAGACGTCCTCGTGGGTAATTCCTCATGTCCCTCACGTCTTCCCTCACGGTCGGCTTCCCAGTGAGGCCCGCTGACCACCCCGATCAACACGGCCGTCTTCCCTGTCCCCACACCCCACACTCTGCATCCCCTTCCCCACTGCGTTTCTCCCGGAACCTTATCTCCTTCTGACAGAATCACCTTCCTCGTTTACTGTGCTTATAGGATCTAGTCTGTCTCTTCCCACTTGGACAGACGCTCCCCAAGGCCAGCCATGTTTCTGACTTTACTTCAGTGATGTTTCCCAGATGCAGAAACTGTCACACATCTGGCACACAGCCAGTGTCAGTGAGTGATCAGTGACAGCGCCTCCCTGTTCTAGAGACAGTATCTTTATTAATGTAGCCTCAGGTCAATGCTGTTTTGTGGCAGCTACATTACAAAGTCCCCTCACACTGGCATCAGTGCCAGCTCCACTTCTCTCACAGGTGCTGCTCTCCCCCCTACCCCCTTCTCTCTCCCACACCTGCCCTCCTGCACACTGCAGCACAGTTATATTTCCCTTCTCAGGAAACAGACAGCCTTGACTTATGGGTCCTACTTTCCAACCAAATATAAATCTCAAGTAGACTCTGCTTCATAAACCGCTGAGTTTGGACCGGAGCCAGCACTAGGGCTCAGGTCAGGGAGAGAGGGCGGGCGAGCAGAGCAGAATTCCAGCAGGAACTTATCTAAGATGAGAAATTACGGAATCCCTCCTCTGCTAATTCCAGATGTGGTTCCTCTGATAGTTTGGGAAAAAATGGAAAGAACCATCAAGCCCTAGGAGGCAAGAGCTGCCTGAGCCTGAAAATTCATCTCTCAATCCATAGACTCCTGTGTGCAGGGTCCCGCTGGGCCTTGTGGGGACAATGACAGGCAAAACACCTCCTGCTGCTGACAGATGGGGACACCCAGAGGAGAATGAGACCAGGACTCATAATAAGAACAAAACCAGTCATATTCCTCTACAGAAACAACCAATGAATACCCAAAAGACGGGGGCTGAGGGCCAGGTCAGGCCTGAACCTAGGCTGACCCGGACACACGAAGCCCTCACTGACAAGACCAGACCTGGGTGATGTTCAAGTCCCTGTGATCACAGATCTTGGTGGGAGAAGGTTCTACTGAAGGGACAAGGACAAAGAAGCAGAGAGGTCACCCAGCCGAGGAGTGACCACGTCGATGCCCACAATGCCCTGAGCATTGAATGGGCTCAGTCCGCGTCCACGCTCGGTCCTCACAGCTTCTCCTGTCTCCACCTGCAACAGACTCAGCACAGCCAACACATGGATTCTGGAAGGTTCTCAGTGCTTCCATTTATTTCCCCTGAAACCATAGCATTTTCTCCTTCAATTAACTCATCAACCCTTCATGGCAAGAACTGAAAAATCCATATCCAGATGCTTATTTCAATAGGATGTAAGAAGTTGCTGCTCTGTGTAACACAAAGTAAAAGCAGGGATGGAAACAGCCTCTGCTGGAACAGGACAGTGGGTCAGGGAAGAGACTCAGTGCAGGGAGGGGGCATGGAGGGCAGGGGGTGGGCAGTCTTCCCCTTCCTCACACGATGCTGAGAGAAACGCAGACACCCTTTGCAGAAAGAGAGATCAGAGGCTCCTGAAGTCACAAAGTGGGGCATGAATACATCTTGCATCACTCAGTCCCCACAAGGCAGTCTCACGCTGTAGAAGATAATCATGAACAAATTCAGGTTAGTGGCTGTAAGTGGTGACATTCTCAACAGTCCACCACATGCTCAAACTGTCCCAAAGTATCCCCATTACCCAGTCCTGTCCTCTCTGCCCCAACCCCTCCCCACTTGAGGCCCTCCAGGTACTCACCTTTAGAAGCCTTGAGAGACACATCAGAGCCCTGGGCACTGTCACTGCCTGGGGGAGAACAAAACAGGATGTGGTCAGAGCTCACAGCAGATGTGGCTAAAAGAGGAATTATGGGGGTGGGTGGACTCCCCCAAGAGCTTCCATCTACACTATCTCAAGGGTCTCAGAGGTAACCTTCTGCCATACTCACTTAAAGCCTGAGCGTAGCTCCCTCCTTTTCCAACTGTGGGAAGAAAACATGATGTGAGAAACCAGGAAGGAGGCAGGGCCATCAGGTCCTAAAGGAACTCCCTAGTCCTGGACCCCACAGAAGTTTCCAGAACTGTGACTACAGACCCACGGCAGGATCAGGGACCTGAGGAAAGTACGTGTGTGGGGACTGGATCAGCCGCCCTCCTGGAGGTCTGTCCTCAGCAGGGACCTTCTGCTCTGACCTGTGACTATCGAGAATCAGGTCTCCATCACCATAATCATCAAGGTGATAAATCTGTCCCTCATTTTCACACATGCATTTAATAAAGAGTACGTGTTAGCAAACAAGGCCCCAGACTAGGAAAGCTCACGTGTGTGGATGGTCCTTCCCACTAGCAGGCAGGACACACTTGTACCTGGGGCTTGACACCCCCCCAGTGGACAAGACAACTCAGTCCCCTCCCTTCCCTACCTCAGCGCCTCCTCCTCCACAGCACAGCTCCAGCCACCACAGCCCCAGTGACCACAGCTCCAAGGACCAGCACAGCAATGATGCCCACAGGGATGGCGGCCTGAGGAGGCGGCTCTGGAACAGAAAGGAAGGTGAGGGCCCTGACCCCCAGGCCTCAGCCCCGACCTGAAGTCTTCCAGAGACCCCTGCTTTCCCTGAGAAGAGGCTCTGTGCCCACGGCCTCCTCCATACCCCATCTCAGGGTCAGGGGCTTGGGCAGCCCCTCGTGCTGCACATGGCAGGTGTATCTCTGCTCCTCTCCAGGAGGCACCGTCACAGCTGCCCACTTCTGGAAGGTCCCGTCCCCCGCAGGCCTGGTCTCCACGAGCTCCGTGTCCTGGGTCAGGTCCTCCCCATCACGCTGCCAGGTCAGCGTGATCTCCGCAGGGTAGAAGCCCAGAGCCCAGCACCTCAGGGTGATGTCACGGTCAGAGCTGGGGTGGTGGGTCACGTGTGCCTTTGGAGGATCTGAGAAGGGTCAGAAAATTCAGGACCTTTGCATCCCTGGTGGGACCCCCCAGCAGTGCTCACATGACCATCCTAAGAATCGTCAGGAAACTGGGGTGGGGGAAGCGAGCACAAAACCCACACACCACACTGGACACAGGCATCCGGGAGAATCTATTCTATGGAAAGTTCTAGAGTCAGGGTGACACAGCCCAGGGTCAGAGGCAGGTCTCTGATGGAGACAAAAGGGATTCCTGGTCCTGACCTGGGTGGAGGCCAAATGACTCAGCACAGCGGGGGTCAGACATCAGTCACACTGTGTGTGGGGCAGCGAACAAGGCCTGAGAGAGAAAGTCCCCCAGGTTCCCAGGGCAGCTGCCTGGGCCAAAGGGAACCGCTGATCAGGTATTTCTGAGACGTCTCCCCTCCATCCCCTGAAAGGCTGCACCCCTAATTGTCCCTGAGAGAAAGTGGCCCTTTGGGTGACTCTCTGGTACCAGGTCTGAAAACCCAGGCAGACTCCATCCCCGATGTCGGAGAGACGGGGTGCCCTGGTGTTGACCCCATTTCCTCCTCTCCGTGTGGGAGCCCCGCGGCCCCTCTTACCTGCGCGTAGCAGCGTCTCCTTCCCCTTCTCCAGGTATCTGCGGAGCAACTCCGGGCACCTGTCCTCAAGGTAGGCCCTCTTGCGCTCTGTCCAACCGGCCGCATCCCACTTGCGCTGGGTGATCTGAGCCGCCGCGTCGGCCGCGGTCCAGGAGCGCATGTCCTCGTTCAGGGCTATGTACTCAGCGCCGTCGTAGGCGAGCTGGCAGTACCCGCGGAGGAGGCGCCCGTCCGGCCCCACGTCGCAGGCAGACATCCCCTGGATGGTGTGAGACCCTGACCCCCCCACACACACACACACGCAGTGATGGAGCCTGAACTGAAAATGACACCGGGTCCAAGTCCCCGCGGGCTCTTCCCGGGTGGGGGGTCGGGCGGGTCCCGCAGCCTCGGGGTGAAGCTCGGACCCGGACACTCGGGGAGACCCCGGCCCGTCCGTGGGGTGTCGTGACCGGGACCCGGGCCGCGTCGCTCACCAGCATCTCTCGGGTGGTAGTAGCTGCCCCGGAACTTCAGCTCCGCTCGGACAGCCTGTGCGACCACCTTGACGTCTGCTGTCTCCCGGTCCCAGAACCCCGGCTCCACGTGCTCCACCCACGCCGCCCGCGGCTCCACCTTTTGAAGCGTGGCGTCGCTGTCGAACCGCGCGAACTGCGTGTCGTCCACGTAGCTGACGCCAACAAAGCGGGGCTCCCCGCCGGGCCGGGACCAGGTGGTTCCGAAATACCTCAGGGAGTGGGAGCCTGGGGACAGGGAGGGGCTGAGACCCGGGCGACCCTCCTCCGGGCGCGGGTCCCGGGTCCGAGGGCGACGGGCCGAGAGGGGGCGGGGGGCCCGGGGAACGGAAAAGGGGCGGGACGGAGGGGGGAGGGGTGGGAGACCCGAGTGGGCGACAGGAATGGGCGGGACCCGGGGAGGTGGGGACACATCTTCTCCGAGTCCTGCGTCCCCATCGGGCGGTCCCCCTCGCTTTCCCCCGCGGAGGCCGTTCCCTCCCGACCCCGCACTCACCCGCCCGGGTCCCCGTCAGGCCCAGGGCCCCCGAGAGCAGCAGGACGAGGGTCCCGGCGCCCATGATGCGCATCCTCGGGGTCTGGGAACGATCTGCGTGCGGGCCGGTCCGCGGGGACTTTATAACCGGAAAGGAAGGACTCTGATTGGCTTCTCTAGAAACCGGACACGCAATGGGAGTGAGAACTGGGTCCGTGTCCTGAGTTTCCAGACGGGAGGACCCGACACAGGTTGAGAGAAGAAGTGAAACCATGAGGAGGTGGGGACTCCCCAACACTGGGCTTCCCGCCCGGGACTCCGCCCTGGGGGACCTGGGACTGTGCCCCGACGCCTCCTCCTGCACCGAGCCTGTGTCACGCTGTCTCCTGAGTCCTGGCCCAGGGGCTGCCTGAGGAAACCAGGCTGGACTCACCCCTTTTCTTCCTCTTCTCTCCCTGGAATCCCTCTCCCTGAAATGGACGCCCTGCCTCCCACCCTTTCCCTCTCCCCCTGGACTCTTCTGGAAGAAGACACCCCAGGGAACTTGGTGCCAGAGTGAGCTCGCCCTGGGACTAGAGGAAGGACAGGGCTTTTCTCTTTAATCCTGGAGAACCTGTGCCTGAAACATCACGTAGTGATTCTCACAGAGCCCGTCTCCCTGTTTATTAACTACAGTGGGTGACAATCTTGGAAACCCCTGATCATCAGGAAGCTAATCTGTAAAATCGTGATTTGGGTCCTTTGGTACAGAAATGTGTCTAAACAGCACGGCAGTGAGACTCTCAAAGCTCCTAAATCTTACTTTCCCAGAGGGTACACGTGTGACTCCGGATGGTTCTGTTGTAAAATGATCTTCTTTCCACAGCCCTGACTTTCTTTGTTGAGTCCCTGCTTCCTTATTACAAAGTAGCACATGGAAGCAGTTTGTTTCTATGTATCTCCAACCGGCCCATGTACAACCTCAATGTTGAAAGTGCTCAATGCAGTTAAAATGCCCTTTACCAGTCTTCCTATATGTCCCATTTTTATGAATAATTTACATATAAGCAGTGTGTATCTTGTATTGGGACACATTATTATTCTTAAACTGATTAGCATCAGAAGGGGATTAGTTTTTAGGCAGCTCCACAGAACACCCTGTTAGGCCCTAGGTAATTTGTTAAAGATCTATGAAACAGCGTATTTAAATCAGAGAGTTCCACTGCTTTAGAATTCTTCACCTCTGCCTCTTTCCCTCCCCCCTGCTTCTCCAGCCCTTCTTTGTCTCCCTCACCCCTCAAGCCCTCTTCTCCCCTTAGTCCCCACCACCCTCTCACTCCTTATTGTGGCACGAATGCCACCCCGTCACCTGCCAACCAAGGACTATTCTCCCCACAGGGATCAGTGTGTGATCCTGCTAATGTGAGTCAGTGTGTGTCATTTCTTCATGAAAAACACTCCAGTGGCTCCCTCTCACTCTGGGAAGCTTCTAGAATATCCGGCACATGAGCACAGAGGTTTGGGCTACTTAGGTCAAAGTATCCCAGGCATATGAAGCCATTTCTGATAGAGTGGGCATTAAATTACTTGTTCAATGAACGAATGAATGAATGAAAATTTATAGCATGTAAAACCATAACCTGAAAAATACAAAAAAGTTAGAAAATATTTTATTACAAACTAGTGTGTACATCAGTTTATAAATTCATTCCAGTGGAAAAAAATACTATGTGCTTAGTTGTTGCACAGCTGAACCTGTGTGTTAGTTTTCTATTGCTGCATAACAGATTACCACAATTTAGTTGCTCAAAATAACACCCACTTATTTGCTCACAATTCCTTAGTCAGAAATCCAGGCTCGATGTGGATGGGTTCTCTGGTCACAGTGTCACAAAGCTGTGTGCTCACCTTGAGCTCAGGATTTTCCTCCAAGCTTACATGGATCTGTTAGCAGAATTCAGCTTTTTCCAGTTGTAGGTCTGAGGTTCCTGTTTTCTTTTCTTTTTTTTTTAGGATTTTTATTGGGAAATTGGGGGATGGGAACCGTGCTGGGGAATTGGGGAAGGGGAACAGACAAGTTGCTATCTTTTTGTTCTTCAGTATAGTTGTGGAGGACGTTGCTTCACTGGCCCAAGTGGCACCATCATTGCGCTCTTCCTGGGTGAGGCAGATCAGTCACTGGCTTCTGGACGGCTGCTCACAGCTGCATGAGGGCCAGTCACCCTGACTGCTGGCTACACACGGTAGCCCATGGCAACCCACTGCAGCAGTGGCTGCAGCCTACACCACCTTCGCTGGCAACTCATGGCAACCCAGCTCCAGGTTGAGCTGTTGCTCAGTATCTTAGCTGTAGAGGGCAGCATCACTGGCCCTCATATGTGGGATCCGAACTGGGGCCCTCTAGCATCCCAAGCCAGTTGTTAACCAATGTGCCACTCGGCCGGCCCTCCTGTTTTCTTGACAACTATCAGCGAGGAGCCCTGGGAGGAACGCCCCCAACATCTAGTGGCCACCAGCAGTCTTTGCCACGTGGCCTTTCATTTTCAAAGCCCCCAGTGGAGAAATGTCTCACATTGAATCCTTCTCACTTGGAATCTTTGGGGTAAGGGGAAACCCCAGTCAGTACTCACCTGATTAGGATAGTCCCATTGATTGTCCCCAAGTCTGAAGGTCAGCTGATGTGAGACCTTAGTTACATCTGCAGAATCCCTTCCCAGCACCTATATTAATGTTTGATTGAATAACTGGGGGGAGGTGACTATCCAGGGTGCTTATTGGTGACCATCATAGAATCAGCCTAGGATGGCCTATTCTTCCCTGTGTGTTTATTTGAGTTGCAGTTGGAAATGAAGTTCAAGTAAATAGATTGTTGTGAATAATAATAAAATGCATCCTATTAGCCATGGAAATTCATAACTCTAAAACTAAATGACATGCTTAATATCTTACACTTAATTTAGAGCAAGTGAAAAAGTACAATAATTCATTCTCTCTTTGGATACTATATTACTCATGTATGGCAGCATAACAAATTACCCAAAACGTAGCAGCTCAAAGCAACAAATGTGTATTATCTCCCACAGTTTCCCAGGGTCAGGAATCCAGGAGAGGTTTTCCTGAGTGCTTCTGGCTCAGGGCCTCTCTCAAGGTTGCAGTCAAGTTGTCAGGCAGGGCTGCATCATCTGAAGCCTTGACTGGGGCGGGAGGACTCCATGAAACATGACACTCATAGGGCTGTTGGAAGGGGCCTCATCTCCTTCCTGGATGGTCCTAGGAGGCCTAAGTTTCTAGCCATGTGGACTTTGCCATAAGGTGGCTAATGACTAGGTAGCTTCATCCCTAAAATCAAGTGATAGGGAAGAGAGAGACAGAGTCAGAGACAGAGACAGAGGGAGAGAGAGGGAGGGGGAGAGAGAGAGAGAGAGAGAGAGAGAGAGAGAGAGAGAGNAGAGAGAGAGAGAGAGAGAGAGAGAAACCAAGACAGAAGCTGCAGTGAGTTTTAGGTCTCAGGCTCAGAGTCACACCATTACATCAGCCTGATGAGAAGTGAGTCATTAAGTCCAGCCCACGTTCAAGAGAGAGGGAATTACTCCACCTCTGGAAGGGGGGAATGTCAAAGAATATACATACACATACAAATAAAAATTTCAATTAAATATTGTTTCAGGATTTTAGGGGTTTTCTGTTTGTGTCTTTTTTTAAAAAAGGTTTTATTGGGGAATTGGGGGATGGGAACAGCACTGGGGAATCGGGGGAAGGGGAACAGACAAGTTGATGTTGTTTAAGGGCGCAGCCCACAGTGGCCCATGTGGGAATGAAACCGGCAACTTTGGTGTTACTAGCACCACGCTCTAACCAACTGAGCTAACTGGCTACCCGTTTCAGGATTTTATAAATCAAATGCTTCTTTGATTATTTTTTTTAATGCCTTAAATTTCACTTTTGGAATATAACAATTAAAGTTTGATGCAGAAAAAGGAGACACAATATTTGTAAGTTTTTATTGCAGATGCCTTTAATAACAAATGTTCCCTACAATAACTGGCAACACAGTTGAGAACATAGAGTAGCCAGGTCACACAGTTTAAAGACACAGCACCATAACAATAATGCCTTTACAATAACTATCTTTGCTTTTCCTTAGACTTTTCAAATTATGAGTGGCCAGCGACAGCGAAGGCTGCAGGGGGCTCCAGTGGGCCACCGTTAGCCGCCATGAGCAGCCATCCAATGGCCAGTGACTGACTGCCTCAGCCAGGAAGAGCGCAGTGATCATAATACCAACATGGGCCAATGAAGTGACGTCCTCCACAACTAGACTTAAGAACAAAAGGACAACTTGGCTGTTCCCCTTCCCCAATTCCCCTATAAAAAAATCTTTAAAAAAAACCCAAAATAATATTTGCCTAATAAAATCACTTTTCAAAATGGTAGAAAAATATGAATCTCATGCTTCAGCCTATAAACCTAGCCTATACATCCTGACAACAATTTTGGTATGATGCAGCAGGCAGCGATGGTTAACTCCAGTCTAGGGACAGAGTGTTCCCAAACTGGCTGTCTGGTTGGCATCCTAGAATAAATGACCCATCTTTCACTGTGTTTTTGAATGAGATTTTGTAGAAGTGATTTGGACACCGAGGTGACTCTAAAAAGCACTGTTGATATGTGCTGCTGAAGTTTGTGTTAAAGAAGCTCTGTTGTGTCTTCATTCACACTCTATTCTATCAATTCTTTCCCCTTTATAGTGTTTTCCATTTTAACTTATATTGATCAATAATGTGCGTTTCCACTTCGGTAAAAGTAGTTAATTCAGTTGTATGTGAAGTTAAATGTAATACATCAAATCCTTCACAGGTAGAATTACCTTGCACATCACATTGACATTGTATCCCAGAAAATCTATAGAGATGCCAGTGATCACATGACCTAGCTCTAGCCAATGCTGTTTCCTGTGACACCACAGCCCTCTCTCTGACATGACTCATAACAATTGGCTGTGGCTTTGTTCCAAGGTGAGTAGGTCTTTCTAAGGATCATTGCAATAAACTGGTATTTCCTTTTCTATTTCCTTATTTAAAAATCAAGCAGGAATGGTTCACAAGTCACAGTTTGAAAAATGTCAGTTTACGAATTATGATCAAGTAATAAATA